TTGCCTAACTCTACCTCTATAGAGAAGCTGCTCGTGAGTGTCGTCGCAAAAAGAAGGAATATGTAAAGTGTTTGGAAAATCGGGTTTCTCAGTTAGAGAGTCAGAATCAGGAGTTGATTGAAAACTTGCAAAAGACCAAAACTCTTCTTGCTGCCATTATTACTGCCTCAACTGGTCGCGACTATCCTTATCTTCACGATTTAGTGGCTGTGGCCGCACAGGCAATAACGAATGGAAATGGGACCACGGGCACCAGCGCAAGCATTCCTACGACTAACTCTAGCCTCAGCAGTCCTTCCGTAAATACATCTTTGGTCTCTGCTGCCTCTATGCTTGTTTCACCCTCGTGTTGTAGCTCTCCCACCAATGCTGCGTCCAATTTTCTCTCACAAACAGCCTTAGTTTCATCTGCCTCTACATCTCAACACCATGTTTGTGCAACCACATCAGCATCCTCTACTTCTGGCCCAGGACATCATCTTGCTGCTCAACTCCCTTATTCTTCCTCCCACATGCCAACTCTTTCTCCTGCTCCGTCTTCTGCACTCTCTAATTCTGCAATGTCAACTCAACAGCAGGCTGAATTATTATGCTCAACTATGTCTACCACTTCCGTTACACCACCGGCCTCTTCCTCTGCCTCATTGCCAACTCTTTCTTGCTCAATCACCTCTGGTCCTCGACTGAACTGCATTACTGGTGGGCGCCGAGACAGTCCAGATCATCATCAGGTCATTCCATCTTCATCGCATCTTCAGCCTATGTCAGGTGGTAATCTCTACTCTAGGCAACCTCTACCGATTCCGGCTAAGGCCGATGTAAATGATTGGCCTAGCCCGACGATGCCCCACTCATTGAGCTCTATCTCCTCTTCTTCATCTTCTGGTACAACTCTTCCCTCCATGGCAATCTCTCCGCTCCTCTGCGCCTCATCTTCACTTGCTTCTCCAAGTGGGTCCCATCAACAGCATTCACATCAGCAAGATCCTCCGCACCATTCCCAACACCACCACCACCACCATCATCATCGACATCACCATAGTCAGCATCATCCTACCAGTCATTTACATCAAAACAATCAGCAATACAATTCAGGGGAATCGTCTTTATATTTATCCATAGACTCACGCGAAAACCCTGTCCATTCTGGCCACGACCATACTCACCACAATCATCATAGCCATGGACATAGCCACCATTTATCGCCTCAGTCTCATCTCCACATTCCCCCAACATCCCCACACCAATCCAACCATTCCTCCCCCCTCAATAATCCTCAGCAACCGATTTATGCTCCTCCGCCTCTCAATCCTAATCTTTCTGCTTCTCACCTTCATTCCAATCACCATCAAGTTTCGCCATCTTTATCTCCTGCTCAATCTCTCTATCAAGTTTCTCCTTCCTCTCCTACAAGCATGCCTTGTTCGGGAGTCGACAGAAAATCTGGATTCAGCACTGTCAGTCGTCATGTTATTGCGGGGCAATCGGCTACAACCAGTCCTGCTAGCACACCTACACCGGCATTGACCTTACCTTCTGTGGTTGCTGCCATCAGTTGCTGTCGTTCACCAGTTAACTCAATGAAGCATCAATCGATTAGTAGCTACCCGCTGCACGAAGCACACCTACACAATTCATTGCATTACCAGCCCCACTCTCACCATCACCTTCAGAAACAGCTACAACAAAAGGAGCAACAGCTATCACATCAATATTTGAGCCGACAAACTCATCCCTTACAAGCACCACAGCAAGATGGCGATCGTGTAGGCCCTCCGGGCCATTCATTCTCACCTGGTTCCGTATCTTCTTCGGCTGTGCCTCAGAAGTTTTCTGCTGCACTTTCCTCTACATTATCATTTCCTCGTTCTTCTACCTCATTCTCTACATCATCTTCCCCTTCTTCCACATCACCATGTCTATCATCCAGTCCAGCTGTACTCGGAATCGGTAATAGCCACACTTCTGGGTCTGTTGCTGGGAGCATAATCACGCCTTCAACTGATTCTTGCCCAAGCATGCCGTTGTGTCACCGAGACGACTGTCTCATTGGATTCCAGAAGCCACAGCTTACTCATCACTCACAACTAACAGATCTTCCTACCGCAACATCACAACCTTTGTCCGCTACTCAGGCAACATTTGCACCTCCTCTCCCACCACGTCCTCTCTTGCCCTCAGCGTCACTATCATCAGCTGATGCTTTGCCTCAACAGCCCGGCTTTCCTACTGAAACGACGATGTCGACGATATCTGCTCTTCCAGTTCGACCAAGATCACGACCGGGGCCAACGGATACTGGTACCAGATCCGCTCCACCCGAGTCGCACCAGTCTTCACCGCCCCTTGAAGTTGTCCTTGGAACAAGGCGACCTGGCTCTGCAGAGTCTTTATCCACTCGTGTGAATGGCGACTACGTTTCACCAGCAACGGAGACACGAAGTCATGAAACCGAATGTATAAGTGGTGGGTATGAGGCCAGTGAGACTAGCCTCATTTCCCTTAAAGATCGAAGTCTCGACACTTTCACCGGGGAGCTGAAGTCAAAAGATGGTATAAGAGAAGATGATGGAATTCACGACGATGAATATGATGATGATGAATATGAATTTAAAGAACTTGAAGATATTGTCAGACATCCACTAAACGGCGACCAACAAGTAAGTACTGTTTATTTGTCATTGACAAGATCACTTTTTAATACATCTTATATCATTAAAAAAAATCATGATCTTCTAGTGGTTATCAATCCATATAATAAGGTGATTTTTAGATGTGCTGACTTTATCTTCACTTTAACTTTGCCTCTATACCCTGCTTTACTGAGCTCAGTTGCATCTTCTCTCTATGTACAACCGACTCATTTTTGATCCGCTATATGCTCTCCATGGGGCTTGACACATTAATTAAGACCTAAGCCATTAAAAATGTATTATTGACTTGTTTGGCTAAAAGTAGTTTGACCTTGTGTTCGCAACCTGGTCATATTGGCAGGAAGACCTAGAGGAGGGTGCTTTATCCGGAGTCCATACTTTGTATGATAATTTGCAGAGTCGGGCCGTGAACTTCGAACATTCCCAGTTGTTTAGCCGGCATCCTTAGTGAACTTTGCCACTCTTACTTCCACATTACAATTAGTCAAAGAGATAAGTGACCAACTATATGCTGAACAGTGGTTTCTCTTCTGTCCTGGTACATTAACCTTCCATACATCCTCTTTTCACTCTTTTTACTATTACTATTTTTACATATTTGAACCTAGTTGATGTGTTTCCTTTTGAGCGAATTCATTGTGACCTATTCACACTCCCCGCTGCGATAGTGAATGGGGGCTTTGAGGATATGGGATAGGTGAATACGCCAGGACAGAAGATATACTCTAACTTTTTGGCGGACATTTGATTAAAGGATCGACTTCACTTGTCTTGGCGAGTTATAGTGTAGTGCTAAGAATGACAAGGCCTCTCTAAAGATGCTGGCGAAATGTCTGGGATTATACCAGGCTCATAGTCCGATTCTGTAAATTAGCATGCATAATATGGACTCCGGACCAGGTGCGTTCCTCTAGGTCTTCCTGACAATATGATAAAT